CTCTTGAGCCGTCTGAGGGTCCCCTTCGCGGACTCTTGGGCCGTCTTGTGGCGATCTTTGGCCCTCTTGGGCCGTCTTGGACAAGCCAGAGAGAGCGAAAAGGTTATCATCTGTCAAAAGCCACAGTTAAATCAATGATTCTCCCCCTCTGGGGCTCTCTTGGAGCGCCTTTTGGGCCTCTGGGGTCGTCTGGAGGCCCCCAAATGGCCCCCAAGACGCTTCCAAGAGGCCCCCTAAGAGGCCCTAAGAGGCTCCCAAGAGTCATCCAAGATGGGAACACCCATGAGGCTACCGAGAGGCCCAAGAGGGCGCCTGACCCACAATCCAGGCACGAGGGATCGACGCCCGCTGGGATCGGTCTGACCAAGTAGTACCACTTAGGTACTACGTGAGTCATAGTTAAGGGAACCCAGGGGCATCCGAAGAAACCCCGACAGACATCCAATACACTTCTGTCCCGCAATCCTGGCACGGTAGCTGGATTGGCCGTAGGTCATTAGATCGTGGTCATCGTCGTCGAGGTCATCGCCGTCGCCGTCGAGGTCGAAGTTCAGGTCGTCGTCGTTGCCGTAGGATGAGGAGGATTGATTGATTGATTGATTCATTGATTGATTGAAGAGGAGGAGGAGAAAAAGGATCAAGGAATGGATGGAGATCCTACGTAGGTGAGAGCACTGCAGTACTCGCACGTACAGTCACCCCGCATAGCAAGAATGGGTAACCTTCCAAGGGTACCCTTGCATCCCTGCGTCCCCGGTCCATCCTTGGCCACTCTCGTTGGCCGCGCCCCGCTCGATAAGCCTCGAAATGGGCGTCCAAGGCCCTCGCATCCCCATCAGGCATCCTCATGATACTGTGGAATTGTTGACGCTTCGCGTATCCCCACCAGCCCATCCAGAAACGATGCTCAGGGGAGTTGAGGTGATCAGGGAAGTCGGGGAGCATGCAGAATAACAAAGGGCGGGGGAAGCTGTCACAGACCCCGAGAGGGGGAGGATGGAAGAGGAGTCGTCGTCGTCGTCGTCGTCGTCGGAGGAGGAGGAGGAGGAGGAGGGGGAAGAGGAGGAGGAGGAGGAGGAGGAGGAGGACGGAGAAGGAGGAAGAATCGGAGGAGGAGGAGGAGGAGGGGAAGGAGCTTCTTGGGGGTCTTTTGAGGGCCTCTTGGAGGGCTTTTTGGGCGCCTTGGGGCATCTTGGGCGCCTCTTGGGACCCTCTTGAGGCGCTCTGGGGAGCCTTCGGGGCGCTTTTGGGGCCATCTTGGAGGGAGTCGATCAAACAAGAGGGGGGGTTTAATTAGCGTCCCCCCTCGGAAGCCCCTAAAATCGCCTCTTGGACCCCTCTTGGAACGCTCTTGGAGTGCTCTTGGGCGCTCTTGGGGCCGTCTTGGGGCTCTTTTGGGGCTCTCTTGGGGCCCTCTTGGGCCATCTTGGAGCCATCTCCAGGCCTCGGATGGCCATCGGAAGCGAAAAGGCGAGAAAGCAAAAATCATTGATTTTCCTTAGGTTTTGGGACGATTTTGGCCTCTTCGGGGCCTCCTTGGGGAGCTGTTTGGCCACTTGGAGTTATCTTGGGGCCGTCTTTGGGCTTCTTGGAACCATCTTAGGAGCCATCGTGAGCGATCTTGCGCTATCTTGAGCCATCTTGGAGCTCATCTTGGGTTCTCTGAGGCGCTCTTGGAGCCGTCTTGGGCCATCTTGGACGCTCTAACTACCCGCGGCCCCCCCCGTCCAGGTCCAGGGGAGGGGGTAGGGGGAGGGGTAAACCCCTCCCCAAGGGGGAAGAGGGAGGGGTGGAAGAGGATCTGCTCTAGACCACCTACGCCCAGAGGGCTGGTGGGATTCTTCACGCTTCGCGTATCCCCACCAGCCCATCTCAAAACAGCAACTCTAGCGAAGCATGCCGACAGTCGTGTTTTTCAGGTGTGTTTCCGCCTGCCCCCGCATATCTCCCCTGTTCCTCCTTCCTCCCGCCTCCTTGTACATCCTCCTTGTGGTGGGAGCGGGAGAAGGACGAGGCGGAGGAGGAGGGAGAGAAAGCGCTCCTCGTGGTTTGAGTCGTTCGGGCTTCTCGTCCTGGTGTGAGTCGTTCGGGCCCTTCTTCCTGGTGTGAGTCGTTCGGGCTCTTCGTGGTGTGAGTCGTTCGGGCTCTTCGTCCTGGTGTGAGTCGTTCGGGCTTCTCGTGGTGTGAGTTGTTCGGGCCCCTCGTCCTGGTGTGAGTCGTTCGGGCCCCTCCTCCTGCCCGTCCAGAAACGACGCCCAGGCGAGTAGAGGGTCGTCCTGATGGGCTTTTCGGCGTCTTGGGTGCCTCGGGGGGGGCCTCTTTGGGCCGTTTGGGATCCTCTTGGGGGCCTCCTGGGGACCTCTTGTGGCCATCTTGGGGCCTCTTGGTGCCTCCTTGGCGCTTCTTGGGGCCATCTTGGAGGAAATCGATCAAAGAAGAGGGGAGCTTTAATTAGCGCTGCCCCCTCAGAAGGCCAAAATGGGGCCAAAACCGTAGTACA